CATTTCCTCATCTCTTTCATTGAGTCTCTTCCCTATCTCCAAAACTCTATTACTTAGTTTATATTATTTACTTTTTTTTATAAGAGAAAATGCAATATTTAACTAACTCTGGTTTATTTTGCTCAACATGATGGTATCCAGTTGTTTGTTTCCTGAAAATGAATAAGACTGCATTCTTCTCTGTGGCTAAATAACACTCCAGTGTGTATAAACACCACATTTTCTTTGCCCATTCATTTGTTGATGGTTGTTTACAAAGCAGCTTAGCTATTGTGAATTGTGCTGATTTTATACACACACAAGTATACGTATATTTAAGAACAATCAGGTAATGCATACAATCTTTCTCTGATGAAATGTAAGTACATCTACTTTTCAAAAGGGTCTTTCTTGAGTACAAAGTTGCTGGCTGTAAGTTTTTTTGCGTTTAAGTTGGGTGTGCTGACTGGCAGGCATTATTTCAGAGTAAACCAGCAGGACTTCCTGTGGTTCCCCAAATGCCAGAATTAAGAGAAATAGGAGAGTTTCAACCTGCAGTTGGAACATTAGAAATTTAACCTGCTTTTTTTTTTTTTTTAAATGCTTGTGAGTAAATGCCAGGATGCACTGTACATTTGAAAACTAGTAAAGGCACTAACTAACCAACTAATCAACTGTTTAGTTTAACGACCTTCAGTGAATCCCCACTTTCAATATTTCTAATCAGACATGCCAACCCTGGGTTTATAAGCTGCCTGGGGGTCCTGATAAACAAAGTAGCTCACTTCCCTTATAGCACCTACACGGCCCCTTATTCTAGATTGTGGTTCCCTTAACCCACTTCTGGTCTTATTTCATCTTCAAGAAATACAGCATCCGCCAAAACAAAACATCAGGCAAAAAAGTTTGTATAAATATTTTAGTGCTATGTTTATTGAGATACCACAGGTTCAGTACAAGTTACTTCTAGCTTCTACATTTACACGAGGGGCTCAAAGTGTTGGTTATTATCTTCCAGATGTTTATTAATACAATGAATTGCTGGAGGCTGTATACATTGTGTGTGTGTGGGGGAATCTGTATGTTGAAACCACTAGCATACTGATCTTTATCATTTTTATCTACCATTCCACTTATTTTCCCAAGTTTATTCCCTTTTAATTTCTATATATTAACTTTAGAGAGCTTGGAGGAAAATGGAAGCAGACTGTGTCTATTCATTTGGTCATTTTTTTTTTACCAGATGTGACTTCACAAATTCAATTATTATATAACAATAAAAGTTCTTATTAGATATATGGATAATATAAATACAGCATCCATTAATTCATTATTATGGCTTTGTTGTTGTCATTCTTTTAGTATATACTTAATTTATGTTCCTGTCAAAACTTTTATTACAGCTCTGATAGAACTGAGAATTGCCATAAGTTAGAGTAATGACCCTACAAGAAAAAGAATTTACTTTAAAAAATTTTCATGAAGGGATTACATACAAAGTTGTAGGCAAGGTTAGGATCAACAAAGAGAATGAGGAGACATCCAGAAGCTAGCAGCAAGAGGATACCTAGAATCAAAGGAACAAGGGCAGGAACAGAGTTGTGGGAACCACAAAGAAGCAGCCATGCAATAGAAGCTGTATTATAGAGAGATATAGTTACTGTGCTGAGGAGACAGTGGGAAAGAGATCCTGATGCCTTTCTCTTCTGCCATCCCACCTGCTGGCAGTATTTCTCATTGCCAAACCCAACCGAGGTTAGAAAGACAGCCAAAGTGGTGTAATCCCAGCAGCATGGGAGCCTTGGGGCTGGAGATCAGTACAAAGGCCTTGGGTTTAATCCCCAGTGATACACAGATGGATGGATGGACAGGAGGCAGGGAGGAAAGGAAAGGAAAAGGAAAGGACAGAAGCATGCAAGTAATCAACCAAGGCAGCCATCTGTCAGTCAGCATCCCCAAAACATACAGTTTGTAGGGGTCAGAGAGAACAGAGCCAAAAATAGATCCAAGGGTTTGAGGATAGAGAACAGATGGTAAATGGTATTACAACTTAATCTTTTATTAAGAATATAGTTTAAATATTAAATATTTGAGATTTCATAAAACATAAATAGTACACATAATGCAGGATATTATGTATAATGATGCTGATTACATAAAAATGTCCATTAAGAATCCTCATTCTCAATATATTTTTAGGGGAATAAAACCTTGCAAGGCATGGTGGTACATGTCAATAATCCCAGTGCTTAGGAGGCTGAGGCAGGAGAACTGTCATTGAGATGGGTTCTAAAACAACATAGGAATCCAAGCAGCCAAACTGATAATTTTGGAATTGTATTGGCTGAGCTCAGCAATCACTTCCGTAGACCCCTGTTTCAGAGTCAAACCGAGTGGTCCTGAACTGGAGGGTTATAGGACATTTAAAGCAGAAAACCACAAAGCAAGACATCCTGTTGGACACAGTTTAGGTAGAATCTTATATTAGTTTTGGTTGACACCTGTATCCTGCATCTTTGCTGAGCAGGTTAGTTTTTCTCTCTTGAGGGTGCAGCTCATTCTGCTTTTCTCATGGGACTCGTACCCTGAGTAATTTTTCACTCTTCTGGTCAAATACAGGGCACAAGATGGCATCAGTTATGCAAAGCTAGAACAGTCACCAGTTCAAGGCTAGCCTGAACTAAAGTAAAAAAAAATCCTGTCTCAAAAAACCAACCAAACAAATACAAAACCATGCAGCACATGAGCTGAAGGATAATCAATGCCATCATGTAAATTAAGATAAGCTCAAAGGATATAAAATAAAATCAGACATTTTGTCTTTTAAACATGAAAAACTGTTATTGTGAGTAAAACATCTGTGCTATATGCTCTCTGAAATCAGGCTGTGGTTACCCTGGAAAGCAATGACAAGTGTGGAGCCCAAGGTGCTCCGTGGATGCTGATGATCCACATGGAGCCACTTCTAGATTTCTAGTTACACAGGTGCCCATAATGGGAACATCCACTGAGTGGTAAACCTGTGATTTTGATGTTTTGTGTAAGTATATTTCAATAAAAACAGCAATTTTTAAAAAGATAGCAACTATAAATACAACTTTAAAAATCCCAACTATGTCAGCAAATTTCTATGCCCTTCCTGAAGCTCCCTAAAGCCAGTAAGGATTTACAGGGACAGCTACAGCAATGATGTGCACTCAACAAAAATCAAAGGCACATCCTGGCATCAGAGAATTTGAGATCTGCTTAGAAAATAAAAAATTTAGAAAGGACATGAAGAATATTAGGAAACAATGTTTCAGGCCATGAAGAATGTACAGCACACACAGAACCAATACTGATGAGTAATTTTCTCATGAGAAAGCCTAGATAGAAATACTTTCTAGAAATCCGACCTCTAGATCTGCATACACATTAGAGTTGTAAGGTTTTTTTTTTTTTTTTTAAAAAGCCTCTGAAACTCCAAAAGTAGAACCCATTTTGAAAAGGAAATAAACATTACCTGAAGTAAAATAGAAAGGATAAAATCCCCCTCTTCTAGAGAGATAGTTTAAACCCACAATACACACAGTACTACAAAAGCCATACAAAGAGGTTTCAAAGCCACTTCTCTTTTCTGCCCCAAACTGGTAAGCAGGAAGCCTGCACCGACTGGGAAGGGAAGTAGACAACACAAGGAAGGGTTGCGGGCAGAGATAAAAACATAAAGATATGTGACAGGGGGACTTTAGCAGACTGGAAGATGTCTCTGTCAGAAAAAAAGAAAGAGGAGTCTGTGGGTGATAAGAGCAGAAGGACTCTGCTGCTTGGCAACAGTTCCAGGGAAGCAGCTAAAACCTCACGAGAAAGCAGCTGTGTGGTGCAACAGGAAGATGGGCCCTGGTATTTATCAAAGATTCTGGAGCAGCAGCAAAGAACTCTGGATCTTAAGAGATCTTCTGGCCACTAATGCCTTGATACCAAGCAAAACTTCAAAACTATGACACAGCTCCAGGCTCAGGGGCCCCCAGGAAGGTTAAAAATTCCATCTCCCTTGCTATATGAAGGCTAAAGTCAGAAATTCAAATAAATACTAGAAAATCAAAAACTTACACTTCTTATAAACAGTGTCTGTGATTTATTCTAAATTGAGATTACTCTTTCAGTCTGAGATCACTCTTTCTACATGTATAATAATACAGTATATGAATTCACAGTACACAGTTTAAATTTTCATAAATAGAAAAGGAAAAATGAGAAATACACTGCTGTTTTATTTATTTGGTTCCATCAATGAAGTGCTCCATGTAAACTGAGTTTTCTAGATGATTGAACATAGTGTGTGCTAACAATACAGATTAATGATCTTGGCAGAAGTCTGGTTAGACTTAATAGATGGGGAGCTACTGCCCTTTTCTTAAATTAGTCTCAGACTTGAGTGCTTATCAGGCTCCCCCCGGCCCCAGGTAGTTTTACCCCTCTCTCCTAGGTACCTTTATAGCTTGGTAGCACCTGTCTTTGTAGATCTCACTGCACTTTTTTCCTCTTCTTTCTTCCTATTCTAATTTTTTGTTTCAAATAAAAATAAAAAATTAGAAAACCCAGCAAATGGGCTTAAATCAAAGTTAAGATGCACTGAGTGAAAATCTCAGGATTAATGCCTGCGGTTCTGGTTATTCTACAGTCTTTACTTGCTTCCCTCAAGGTTTGAGTATTGGATGTGAGCATTTTCCAGCTTATCTCCTTGAATTGTGAAGTTTCAGAAGGTGCTTTAGTGCCTGCCATGGGTAGACAAGGAGAGGCTGAACAGTCCCTCTCTGTTTCTGCAGAAGGAGCCCTATTTTATGTATTTTATACTATGATTTCTGTTTTAGATTTTGTTTAATAAAAGGACTTTACTGTTAAAACATATATAAAACTACTCTTCTAGAAATCTGAACTTAGATCTGTATAACTAAATTGATGAATATTAGGGCTGTAAATTTAAAAAAATATATGAAACTCCAAAATAGAATCCATTTTCAAAAGGCAATTAAAACTACCTGAAGTAAAGGCACAAAATCCTCTTGTTCTAGAGAGCTGCAGCCAGGTTTTGCCAGAAGACAGATGAACTTAGAGGCATCATCATGATGGTTATTCAGCAACCTACAAAACAAACAGTTGCTTAGGAAGATCTGGTACTGGGAACAAACAAGAACTGAAACACTGACAACTGTTAACTGCAATCTGATCTGAAGGCCACATAGATCAAGAATCAAGTGCTTTTATTCTTTTTCAGTGATGAAAATTGACCCCAGAGTCCTACATATGGTAGGCAAGTACTCTATCACGGAGCTGCTCCCAGATCAAGTGCTCTATTTTCAATGTTCTCTCTGCTTTTGACTTTATCACAGGGATATCTTAATAAAAGTTCAATAACAAGATGGCATATTAGTTTTATAAAATGCTTCTGATGCTGAGATCACAATCAAATGAACGAATGCAGGTAAAAAACATATTATTGAAATACACTTGAGGGAGAACATCTAATCAGTTGACAAGGGCTAGGTGGAATCAGAACTCCAGAGTTAGGCAACAGGTAGAAAGGAACACTTTGGATGGATCATTACGTACTACGTAAAACATGAAATTCTATTTGTCCAGGCTGATAGACATTCAGGGCCAATGTGATAGGGGAGCTTCTGAAATCAGACTTACAATAACAAGTCTTAAAAAATGAGCTCTCTAGTTTCCTAAATTCCAGAATTCCTTCCCTCAAATTATTTGGCGGACATTTCCACTTGGGAACTACATATACTCTGAAAGAAAAATAAAATTTTGAAAATCAAAATTGAAATTTTCTTCTCATAGTCAGCCCTTTTTTAAAATCTTTTTTTAATAAGAACGGTAGTACCATTCTTAGTAATCTGCTTGATACTTTGAAATCATTTATATTTTATTTTTCTTTCTTATCCTCCACTTACAAGCAGTCTCTAAATTTGCTTGTTTTCCTTCATTAATCATTTATTGAATGCTGTATTGTAGGCATTACATCTGGTCTTAGGGATTCCTGGTACACAAAGAAAGTAAGACATAATTCTGTGTTGTCCAAGGAGCTTACAGTCTAGTTATCAATAAAATTATACTGTTGGTGAACAGTCACAGTAGAAGTAATTAGCACAGGATAGTCATGGAAGGACACAGGAGGCCAATGAAGTAGGAAAGAAGGGTACTGTGGTTAAAAAGAGAAGTCTGGTGTGAGATGTAGGGAACATCTGGGCACTAATAAATACAGAGTGGTAAGAGAAGGGAACGTGCAGGTGGCCTCGTTGAGGCCTCGTCTATGTCAGGTCTCTAGTTTTGAACTTTTAATGGAAAATAAAAGGTCAGGTCAGGAACCCTGGACTTTGACCTATTCCACAGAAAAACTTTAATTTTCACAGTAACATGATCAGATATGTTTTTCAGAAATACCAAGTAAGAAACGAGAGCCTCAGCATGGGTATTAGCAGTGGGAAGTGGGGAGAAAGGGGCACATATGGCAGAATGAAAGGACACGGTAGTTGGTAGAGGTAAGGAATACAAAGGGAAAACATTCATAAAAATTCCCATTTCTAGGTAGGCACACTGGATAGCTAGAATACAGGATAAGAGTACCTGAGTCCTGAGGAATTTTTCCTCACAACATTTTACTTCCCTTTTATTTTCCAATAAAAGTTCAGGGCCTAATATATTCACACTGAGACTGCTAGAGGGGAAGAGGGTTCTCACAGGGTTCTCTGTTCATCCAATCTTGTAATAAAGTCAATTCACTATTTTAAAACAATCTTCATTATACAACTCCATTACTTAAAATGTTCAATAGCTCTCTACTACTTCTATGCATAAGCCTGTAGTGATGGGCTGTATCTTAAAGGTCTCCCCAAAGGTTATGTGTTGGAGCCTTGGTCCCCAGTACAGCAGATTCAAAGGTAGGGCCTTTGGGAGATGACTGGATCATGAGGGTTCTGACATAATGAACATAATGACATAATCCATTTATGGACTAATATATTTTTTTTTCTTTTTTGTCTTTTTCATTTTTATCGGTACCAGGGATCAAACTCACGACTGCCTGCTTACAAGGCAAGTGCTTATGCTGCTGAGCTAAATCCCCAGCCCCCTGGATTAATATCTTAATAGGTTTTTGGGAAATGGGTTTGCTATGAAAGTGAGCTCTTTTTCAAAGCTTTCTGGCCTCCATGAATTGAGCAGCTTTGCGCCACCACACATTCCTCTCCACGATATTTTGCCTGAGCACAAGCTCAGAAAGCAATGAGGGCCAAGTAACCAGGAACCAAAACCTCTAAAATTGTAAGCCAAAATGTCAAAATAGATCTTTCCTTCATCTTGGTTATTTTGTCACAATGATGCAAAGCTAATATACCTACAGTGGGTACTTAAAGCCTCTGTAATTAGGCTGGAGTCTGCCTACCCATCAATCTCACTTCTTTGCTAAATGAACCTTCTACTCCAGGCAGCTGGCTTGACTTATATGCAGTTTTGCCTATGTATCATTCTTATGCTGTTCTATTCTCCTTTTAAGCCCTCTCCCAACTTTGTGGTTTCAATGCTGCTTATTAAGAAGAAATGAATAACCAGCTCTTTCAAAAAGCCTTCCTTGACAACTACATTCCTTACTGATCTTTGTACAACTTATACTTATCATACACATTATTTTATTTTTGTTTTACCTCTTTGGCCCTTAAAGGGCAGGCAAAGTTACAGCTTTTCTTATTCAAGCACACAGGATATGACTTACACACAGGAGCCTCTCAAAACATTAGTGATCTAACAGATGTATAATTTTTGTACTGGAAATCAAATTCAGGACGTTGTATTTGCTCAGCAGACACTGTGCCACTGAACTATATCCTTGGCCCTTTATGACACTTACTTAACTTCATTTGATCTGAGTTACAGGCTTTTTCTATTTATTTTCTTTTATCATTGTTCAATACATTCAAGGATCCTGAAGTTAAAAAAAAATCACACATTTTAGAAAAAGACTAGTGTGGTGTCAATGAAAATCACCTCTTCAGATTAGAAAGTGGATGGGGTGAGAACAAAAAGGTAGCAGCAAGGTCTTTGAAAAGGAGCTCTTTTACAAAAAAAAAAAAAAAAACAGACAAAAAACTGAAAAAACAAAAAAACCCTCATTACTGAATAAATACTGCAGCAATATGACAGACAATGGATACTCTAAAAGGACAAAGCCAAATCAGGGGCACGAATTACAATTTTCTGCCAATGCTACTGGCTGATAAATTCTATATGACAGGTAAAAAAGGATAATAAATGTCATAAAAGGTAACCATAGCTATTCTACATTGGTATTTCACACTAAACATAATATCACTTTTGAGGAAAAATAGTATTTTTAATGGACAAATGATGCACTGATATGAAAAGGTGAAAGAAAGTAGAGAATAGTAAAGCTGGAGTAATATTACTGACTCTGTTGGAGAAGTTTCACCTAAAAGTTGGTACAATACTCCAGGAACTTAAGTAAAAAAGCTATGAAATAATGTTTTTCTCCTACAAATGTCCTGTAAGAAAAACATGCCATAGTACAGATAAGAAATGAGCAATAGCATAGGGAAAGTAAGAGAACAAAAGAAGCAAGAGAGATGTTCCAAGTGTTAATTCTAAAATCAACTAAAATCACTAGAATAGATTACTAGATAAATAAGGCTCCCAACCTGTGAGGACTTTGACATGAAAGGAGTTTTTTCTTGGTATTGTATCCCTTTAGTTTTTCAGATTACATAAAGCTTGTTACTGAAGCAAGTCAACACACATAGGTCTATACCCAAATGTTTGAATTCTGCATCAGTACTTGCCAGTTATTTTTGTACTTGGGTTGCTTTATGTAAACACTAAAATTTGTAAAACTAAGCACATGTTTTAAAGCACATGCTTAAAAACTAAGCACATGTTTTCCTAGGTCACTATGGTAATTCAGATCATCATACTTAAGTCTCCCAAAATAGGGGCTGGAGATTTAGCTTAGCTGCATAAGCACCTGCCTTGCAAGCAGGCAGTTGTGAGTTCGATCCCCGGTACCGATAAAAAGGAAAAAGGCAAAAACAAACAAACAAAAAAACCAACAAAAAGTCTCCCAAAATAGCTATACTTAAGTATATGCTGGCTTTTAAAAGGGATTTTTTTAAGAGCACAAGGATGGTTCCAGAACGTGGCTGACAGATAACAGCAGCTATGGAGGCTCTCTGAGATTGCCAGCTTAGAATCAAAGAATGGTGTGGTGTGAGGAGTCCTAAGCAAGGGGAGATATACCCTGCCAACCCAGGAACGAAATAAGCTGAGAGAAACCAACTGGAAATGCAATCCCAGTGCTATAACTGGGACAGATAAAATCTCAGCGTGGAAGCTGGAACCTGTGCCACTGGAAGCTGCGATTTGAATTTCCTGCTGCTGCTGCTGTGTCTGAATCAGCACAGCAGGGACAGAGAGGCAAAAGCTCTGAGAGTGGGAATCGGTGAACGAAATTGAGAGCGGGACTGGCAGGGAGGCCTGCATCAACCTGTGGTGAGTGACAGAATGGGGATCCCTCCATAGACTAGGAGGTTCCAAAAAGGACATTCGGGACCGGGCAGACTAGCTGGAAAAGGACACTGCAGTGACTTTAGTTGCACATTCCCATCTCAAGGGGGATTGGTGCAGAGCGCTTGGCCTGGGTGTGCTGCAGACTAACACCCAGTAGGCTAGCCCAAACCAGGTCCAAGCACCTGGCGGTACAACCTAGCAGTGAAGCCTTCAGTAGGTTGACTGACCTGGAGGGGCGGGCCCAGCAGAGGTTGCCCAGGTCTGTGTCTCCCTAGTATACTGCAGTGGGCAGGAACACCTAGCTGGTGGATTCAAACAAACTGTAACCGACAAAGAAAGAAACTGGGCCTCCTATGTACGCTTGTATGGAAGGAACAAAAAGTATGGGAAGAGGGAGCAACAAGAAAGGGTCCTCAGTCCCCAATGCTGAGAGCACTGATCCAGGAAAGGTAAATGCAAAAGAGAATGAAGGCAGAAAACATGCAATATCAGACACGGCACCAAGAGACATAAAGCGATATCTCTGGAGCCTCATAGACCAATTCAAAAGTGAAGTATTT